CTATTCAATGTTGCCATTATGGAATAAAAGCATCCATAGACAATACATAAACAAGGGTGGCTGTGTTCCAATGAAACTTTATTAATAAAAATAGGCAGTGGGTCAGATTTGGTCCAAGGGGCAAAGTTTGCAAACCCTTGCTTTAAAGTAACCACTAGGAAAATACTACAAAGAGTTGTTCCTAATAGGCTAACAAAGGAGATAAAATTGAACTAAAAATAGTCAATACAAGAGACAGAAAAAAGGCAAATAACAGATGGGACAAATAGAAAGCAAGTCGAAAGATGATAGACTTAAACTTATACATCCATAATCACATTAAATGTAAATAGTCTAAATATCCCAATTAAAAAACAGAGATTATCAGATTGGCTAAGAAAGAAAGGCCAAACCATAAGCTACCTACAAGAAACATACTTTAAATATAAACCCAGAAATAAGTTAAAAGTAAAAGAATGGAAAAAGATTTACTATGCTAACACTAATCAAAAGAAAGTTACATATTATCAGATAAAATAGATTTCAGAGCAAAAAATATAACCTGCAATAAAGAGGATCATTTCATAATGGGTCAGTATAAGGAGTCAGCTCCTCAAGAGAACATAACATGCTGAGGTACTCAATAAGAAGAGATTCAAAATATAAGAAGCAGAAACTGGTAAGACGGTAATAAAAAATAGAAAATTTCACAATTATAGTCAGAGATTTCAAAACATCTCCCTCAATAACTTAAGTAGATAGACAAGTAAAGATATATGAAACCTGAACAAAACTATTACCTAACCTGACCTAATTGGCATTTATAGAACACTCCACCTATCAGTTCCATACAAGCTGTTGCAGAAAACTGAAGAGGGAAAGACCTTTCCAAACTTATTCAATGAGGTAAGTACTACCTGATACCAAAACTATATGGCATCACTACAAGAGGGAAAAAGATCACTACAGATCAACAGCCCTCATAAACAGAAATACATAAATTCTTAAAATAATTTTAGCAAATCAAATCAGATAATATATAAAAAGATAATACATCATGACTAATCCCAGTAATGCAAAGATAGTTTAACATTTGAAAATCAATATAATTCATCATATTAAAAAACTAAAGAAGGAAAACCATATGATTATCTCAATAGATTAAAAAAATCATATACCTGTCACATGTGCTCTTTTTGCCTGGCTTCTTTCGCTCAGCATAATTACTATGAGCAATTCATCTCTGTTGCTGATATATCAATACTCCATTGCTTTTTATCGCTGAGTAGTATTCCGTTGTATAAAAACACGATGTTTATTCATTGGTGACGTAAATTTGAGTTGTTCCCAGTTTGGGGGCATTACAAATAAAACTGCCATGAGCATTTTATCTAGAAGCCTTTAAATGGATATAAGTTTACATTTGGGGGGGTAAATGCCTAGGAGTGGAATGACTAGATCACATGTTTAACTTTTTAAAAAACTGCCAAACTATTTTTCATAGTCATAATCCCCACCATTAGTATGTGAAAGTTTCTATTACTTCACATTCTCATCAGCAATGGGAAGTCTTTCTAATCTCAGGCAATGGATTTTTTAATCTAATCTAATTTAATCCATTTAATCTAATCTCAGGTAATGGGAATTAGGTATGCAATGGTATCTCATTGTGGTTTTAATTTGCATTTCCCTAATGATTAATGATGCTGAGCATTCCTTCATATGCTGTTTTCCCTATGTATATCTTTTTTTTTTTTTTTTGGTTAAGTATCTGTTTAGCAGAAACAGAAAAAGCTTTTCATAAAATCTAATATCTTTTGATGATTAAAAGAAAAACCCTAGCAAACTAGAAATGGGAGCAAACTTTGTTAATCTGATAAAAGGTGTCTATAACAAAAGCCTATAGCAAACATGATACTGAAAAATGAAATATTAAAAGATTTCCCTTGAGATAGAGAGTGAAACTAGTACAACTGCTATTCAACACTGTACTGAAGGTCTCTAGCCACTACAAATGCCTCCATAAAATATATTAAAAATACATAAAATATATGGATGAGAAAGGAAGAAATAAAGTTGTCATTTTCACAGACAACAAGATTGTACATGAAGAAATTACAAAAGAATCTATGGATACCCTATAAGAGGTAATTGTTGAATTTAGTGAGGTCACCAGAATTGAGGTCAATATACAAAAATCAATTAACTTTTTGTATATCAGCAACAAACAATTTAAAATTACCATTTATAACAGCATAAAAATCAGATGCCTAGGATAGATATAATGAAGATATGCAAGACTTCTACATAGAGAACTGTAAAACATTGAGAACAATTTAAGACAAATAAAAGAAAGGACCTATACATGGATTAGAGAAGTTAATATCTATTATAAAGGTGTAAATTATCTTTAAATCAATTTCTAGAACCAATACAATCCAAATTAAAATGAGAGTAGAGTTTTTTTAAGATATTAATAAGCTGGCCGGGCATGGTGGCTCACGCTTGTAATCCCAGTACTTTGGGAGGCCAAGGCGGGTGGATCATGAGGTCAGGAGTTTAAGATCAGCCTGGCCAACATGGTGAAACCCCATCTCTATTAAAAAAAAAAAAAAAAAAAAAAAAAAGATTGTTAAATTTTTATAGCTACCCAGATTTGATCATTACATGTTATATGCTTGTATCAAAATATGACATGTGCCCCATAAATATGTACTACTATTATACATCCATAAAAATTAAAAATAAAAAAATAGAGTAAAATAAATTTATATGGAAATGCACTAGGGTCAAGAATAGCCAGCATAAATAAAGAAGTACAAAATCGAAGGGCTTATGCTACTAAAGAGTTGTTATAAAGTTACATAATTAGGACAGTATGATATTTGAACAGGATAAATAATCCTGAAGCAGAGCTGCGTATGACTGGACACTTGATTTATGACAAAGATAGCAACAGCAATACAATGTAGTAGAGAATGAGTGGCCTTTCAATAAATTGTGCTGGGTCAACATGGAAAACAACAGACTTGGGCGTCTTCCTTACACAAAAACAATTTCAGTGAATTGTAGATCTAGATGTAAAAGGTAAAATAATAGAGGCTCTAGAAGAGGTGGGCAGAGATTTCTTAAGTATGAGTAGAATAGACATATACACTAAACATAAAGAGATTGATAACTTGGGCTACATTAAAATTAAGAGTTTCCATTTCTGAGCACATTGTTAAGAGGGTGGAAAGGAATGTCCCAGGCTAGGGGAAGACATTTACCTATAACCAGTAAATGACCTGTTTCTAGAATGGTTAAAGAATTCTTATAAATAAGAAAAGGATAGAATGGTTTAAAGAATTCCTGGATGGATGGAAGGAAGGAAGGAAGGAAGGAAGGAAGGAAGGAAGGAAGGAAGGAAGGGAGGATGGGAGGGAGGGAGGGAGAGCCCAGCAGAAAAAAATGGGCAAAAATGTTGAACAGTCATTTCTCCAAAGAGAATATCCAAAAGGCCAGTTGACATGAGAGTGTTCAATCTCATTAATCTCAGCGCAATGCAAATTAAAACTATTATGAGCTAAAAATGGTGAGGATTTGGAGCAGCTGGAATTCACATACTTTGCTTGTAAGGAGGTAACATGGGCACAGCTACTTTGGAAAGCTGTTTGGCAGTATCAACTAAGCTTACCCTAAACATACCCTATGACTCATCAGTTCCACTCCTCAGGTATAGACCCAAGAAATAACATAAATATGTGTCCCACAAGACAGGTACAAGAATAGTTACAGAAGTCTGTATTCATAATAGCCCCAAACTGGAAACAACCTAAATGTCCTTCGATAGTAGAATAGATAAATTGTGGTATATTCAAACAAGAGCAATAAAGTGAAGCAATTACTGATACATAAAACAACATGAAGTTAAATCTCTGAAATATAAGTGAAAAAAAAAAGCCTGAGAGGAAAAGTTCATATTGTATGATTCACATTTACATAACGTTCAAAAACAAACTAAAGTTACTAAAGATATGAGAAGTCAGGATGACTGTAGTGTTTACTTTTGCAGAGAAGAGAGATAATATCTGAGAAGGGACAAGGGCTTTTGAGATGCTGCTGACTTCTATGTCTTGGTCTGAGAAGCTATTCCATAGGTGGTGTTTTCTTTGTGAATATTCATTAAGCTATACAATTATGATTTGTGCAATTTTCCTGAATATATAGTTATGCTTCAATTTAAAGAAACGTTAAAAAGAGAGTACAAAATCAGAGGACGAGAGGAAGAGAGATCTCTCTGGATTTGAGAGCAGCAGTGACTCTGGAAGCCCACCAGGGAGGTGGTAATAGCCTCAAAAGAAAAATCGCTGGAGCCTAGGAGGATCTCAATATGAGGTTTCCAGTCTCGGCAATAATTCCTCAACCACAGGTATGGCCCAGAATACACCAACAAACCAGAACACTAGTTTGCCAGAACACTAGCAAAACCAAAGGAAGCACATGAGCTGGGACACTGGACATCTCGTCAATGTGGACGGTTGATCAATGACCCGAGTATTCCTCCCCTCCCAACCCAGCCTCCTGGGATCACACTATCAGGCAAGTTCCAACCCTGAAGCAACCGTGAGGGAGAGAGGATTTATGCTGATAATGGCTGGAGTTATCCTTTCAACCCAGCAGAATGGGGGCGTGCAGTCATAACTCAAGTTGAGTTTTAGGAAATAAAAAAATGATCTCCTACATATCTAAATTTGAGGACAGAGATTCTTATGAGATACATGGAAATAACAAGTCTGGGTTTTGTTAGTTTGTTTTAAAGAGACTTCCTCCTTTTTCCCTCATCCTTTCTTCTCACAGTTTCTTCCCAATCATCATACTTGAAACAGTAGGGCCTAAAGCCATCTATCTGGTATGCCTTTAAGGATGTGAATATAACCCAGGATTTACTATTCCCCCCAAATTTGCTCTGATGTACTAAAATAAACATATATCAGGAGCTATCTCCTCCCTGCACAGAGTTACTTAAGAGTTCACCAGACCTTTCTGTACTTTACTGGCACGTCTGGGATGTTTGCCAGCCTGTTCATTTTTCTGTGCGGAGTTGTCCACATTAGCGAAATTCTGTGATTCTGTGACATGTTCCATTTGTTTGATGAAAACCTCTACTGCATGTTCTCCTAAGCACCTGAAACAGCAAAATACAGTATTTGTAGAGATCATTTCACATTGGTTAGTTAATTGTTGTGAATGGGTTCTGTCCTATCTCGAGGGTAGATAGAAATGGTATGAGTGCTGGCTGAGATCTACCAAGTCCAGTGACACAAAGTCCCAAGCACACTGTGCTGCCTACAACAGGAACACCAAGAGAAGTCGTTGATGTTGCTTACAGAACTACTGAAGCCTTAGATTTTATTTTTATTTCTTTATTGTTTGAGATGAAGTTTCACTTGTCACCCAGGCTGGAGGGCAACGGCATGATCTCGGCTCACTGCAACCTCCGCCTCCCTGGTTCAGGTGATTCTCCTGCCTCAACCTCCTGAGTAGCTGGGATTACAAGTGCCCACCACCACACCCAGCTAATTTTTGTATTTTTAGTAGAGACAGGGTTTCACCATGTTGGCCAGGCTAGTCTTGAACTCCTGACCTGAGGTGATCTGCCTGCCTCAACCTCCCAAAGTGCTGGGATTACAGGTGTGAGCCACCATGCCCAGCCTATTTTTATTTTGTAAGGTTAGCTTTACTGAGATATAATTTATATACAAATAAAATTCATCAGTGTTAGTTGTGTAATTTCAAGTTTTGGCAAATGTTTACAGTCGAGTTAAATACCGCCACAATTAAGATATTAATTGATCTATCATGCTGAGAAGCTCCCTGTGTCCCTTTGCAGTCAGTACCCTCAACCACTGCTCTGCTGTCACAACTGGGGTCTTTCTAGAATGTCACATAAGTGCGATCATACAGCGACACTCTTTTGTGTCTTTTTTTCACTTTGTGTAATGCTTTTGAAATTCCTCCCTATTGTTGCATATAATCAGTATTTTGTTTCGATTGTTCCACATCCTCACCAACATGTGTTTGCTCAATCTTGTTAATTTTAGGCATTCTAGTGATTTTATAATGGCATCTCATTGTCATTTTAATTTGGATATTTTCATGTGCTTATGTACCCTCTTTAGTGAAGTGTGTTCAAATGTTCTGCCTTAAAAAAAAATTGGGGCCGGGCATGGCGACTCATACCTGTAATCCCAACATTTTGGGGGGCTGAAACAGGAGGATTGCTTGAAGCCAGGAGTTCAAGACTAGCCTAAGCAACATAGTGAGACCCTCCATCTCTACAAAAAATAAAAAATTAGCCAGCCGTGGTGGTGCATACCTGTAGTCCCAGCTACTCTGGAGGCTGAGATGAGAGAATTGCTTAAGCCCAGGAGATCAAAGCTGCAGTGATCTATGATCTCACCACTGCACTCCAGCCTGGGCAACAGAGCAAGGTCCTGTCTCAAAAAAAACAAAACCAAAAATAGTTGGTTTACTGGGTTATTATTGAGTTCTAAAAGTTAATACATTCTGGATACAACCCTTTTATAATATATTTTTTGAAAATATTTGCTCCCAGGCTGAGGCTTGCCTTTTTATTTTCTTAACATTATCTTTTGAAAGCAAAATTTTAAATTTTGATCAAATTTGTCAAATATTTTAAGGTTTTAAGATTTCTTTTGTCAGATTTAAGTGATTTTTGCCTAACTCAAGGTCACAAATGTTTTCTCCTACATTTTCTTTTAGAAGTTTTATAGTTTTAGCTCTTACATTTAGGCCTAGGATCCATTCTGAATTAAATTTTGTACATGGTATTACTGTAAGGGTCAGGTTCATTTTATTGCATTTGGAGATTCAATTAATCCAGCACCATCTGCTGAAAAGAATATCCTTTTTTCATTTAATTATCTTGGCACACTCATCACAAATCTACTCTGCATGTGTGTGTTTACTTACATATATATACTGCTGTTTCTAGATTCTCTATTCTGGTCGAGTTCTATGTATATCCTTATACCAACAGCACACTATTTTGCTTTAGAATAAGTTTTAAAGTAAGGTAGTTCCAACTCTGTCTTATTTTGCAAATTACTTTGACTATACTAGCTCTTGTATTAGCCCTTTTGAATTACCATATAACTGATAGGTCAATTTCTACTAAAACAAAAACTCCCTGGATTTTGGCTGTGATTACATTGGATCTACAGAACAATTTGGGGGAGAATTTACATCTTAACTTTGTTGAGTATTATGATCCATGAATATGGTATACTCTCCATTTATTTAGATACTCTTTAATTTCTCAGCAACATTTTACAGTTATCAGTGTACAAATATTGCACATATTTTATATTTTCTTAAACTGATTCCTATGTAATTCATATTTTTATGTCATTAACATGGTCTTAAATTTTTTTAAATTTCTAATTGTTTATTGCTGATATACAGAAATATAAGTAATTTGTATATATTGATGCTGCATCCGGCAACTTTGCTGAGCTTTTTTTTAGTTCAAGTAGGTTTTTTGTTGATTAGGAATTTCTATATATATAATCACATCATATATAAATAAAAAAGTTTTCTTTCTTTCTTTGCAATTTGTATGCCTATTTCTTTTTATTGTAATATTGCAAAAACTAGGGCATCCAGTACAATGTTGAATAAAAGTGACAATAGTGGACATCTTTGTCTTGTTTCTGGCTTGAGTGGGAAAGCATTCAGTCTTTCAACATTAAGTACAATGTTAGTTGTAGGTTTTTTATAAAAGTTTGTTATCACTTCAAATCTTTGTTTCCTAAGAGTTTTTAATAGGAATAAGTGATCAATTTTATCAAATACTTTTTCTGCATCTATGGAGATGATCATATAATTGTTCTCTGTGAATATATTAAGTAAATTGCATTGATTGCTTTTCAAATGTTAAAACAACCTAGTGTTCCTGGAATAAATGCTGCTTGGTCATAAGATAGTATCACTTTTATACATTGAAGGATTCAATTTGCTAAAATTCTGTTGAGGATTTTTGCACTGGTGTTCATGAGGGCTACTAATCTGTAGCTTTCCTTTTCTTTCTAAAAATGTCTTTGATTTGGACATCAGGGTAATGCTTGCTTCCTGAAATGAGCTGGAAGGCGTTTTTTTTTTTTCTTTTTTTTTTCCTCCTTTAATTGCTGGCACAGTTTGTGTAAAATTGGTATTAGTTCTTCCTTAAATTTATCAGTAAAGCTGTCTGGGCCTAGAGTTTTCTTTGTGGGAAGATTTTTAATGACAAAGTCCATTAACTTAATAGATACAGGGCTCTTCAGGTTATTTATTTCTTTTTAACTGAGCTTTGGTAATTTCAAAATTTGGTAATATTTTGTAATGATAAAGGGTCATTATAAAATGTCCCTTTATCATTATAAAATTATAAAATGATAAAGGGTGAACCTAATTGACATTTATAAAAAACTCTATTCAACAACAAAAAAAGGGTTTCATTTGTTCTTCCCTTTCTAGCTTTTTAGGTGGAAGCTTCAATAATTGAATTTAGACCCTTCTTCTTTATTTTAAGACGGAGTTTCACTCTTGTTGCCCAGGCTGGAGTGCAATCGCAGAATCTCGGCTCACTGCAACCTCCAACTCCCAGGTTCAAGCGATTCTTCTGCCTCGACCTCCCAAGGTTGACCTGACCTCAAGTGATCTGCTGCCTCGGCCTCCCAAAGTGCTGGGATTACAGGCGTGAGCCACCGCGCCCGGCCCCTTCTTCTTTCTTAATATGTGTATTTAATATTTTAAATGCTCCTGTAAATTATCAAATATTGGTATTTTTTATTATTTTTATTTCAAGGAAATTTTTCCATTTCATCTGTCAGGAAACTTACTGGCAGAAAGTCATTTATCATTCTTTCAATATCTGCAAGTTCTGTAGTAATGTCCCTACTTCATTCCTGATACTGGGCAATTTGTGTTTTACATATTTTTGTTGATAAGTCTGGCTAGAGGTTTACCAACGTATTGATTTTTTTTCAAAAGAAAACAGCATGTGGTTTTATTGATATTTCTCTATTGTTTTTCTATATATTCTATTTCATTGGCTTCTACGATTATTTTTTCCTTCTTTCTGCTTACTTTGGGTTCCATTTGTTCTTACCTTTCTAGCTTTTTAGGTGGAAGCTTCAATAATTGAATTTAGAACCTTCTTCTTCTTTTTTTTTTTTTTTTTTTTGAGACAGAGTTTTGCTCTTGTTGCCCAGGCTGGAGTGCAATGGCACAATCTGGGCTCACTGCAACCTCCAACTCCCAGGTTCAAGGGATACTCCTGCCTCAATGTCTCAAGTAGCTGGGATTACAGGCACCCAACAATATGTCTCGCTAATTTTTTTGTATTTTTAGTAGAGATGGGGTTTCACCAGGTTGGTCAGGCTGGTCTCAAACTCCCGACCTCAAGTAATCCGCCTGCTTTGGCCTCCCAAAGTGCTGGGATTACAGGCCTGAGCCACCTTACCTGGCCCCTTCTTCTTTCTTAATATGTGTATTTAATATCTTAAATGTTCCCGTAAGCACCATTTTAGTGGCATCTCATATACTTTAACATGCTGTATTTTCATTTTTCTTTCAGTTTAAAATATCTTTTATTTTTCATTGTAATTTTCCTTTTACACTTGGTTTATTTGGAAGTCTGATGTTTAATTTCCAAGTAGTCAGGGGGATTTTCTAGTTATCTTTTTGTTGTTGATTTGAATTTTTCCTTTTGTTGTTGAATAGGGTTTTTAAATAAATGTCAGTTAGGTAGACTTGGTTGATAGTTTGTTCAAGTCTTTTACATCCTTACTGATTTACAGTTTATTTATTCTATCAATAATCAGAGAAAAGTGTTGAAATTCTCATATTATATTATTGTGAATTTGTTTATTTCTCTTTTAAGCTTTGTCAGTTTTTATTGTGTATTTTGAAGCACTATTATTAGGTGCATGCACATTTATAATTTTTGTCTTTTTGGTAAATTGACCACTTTGTCATCATAAAATGTCCCAATTTATCCCTGGTAATATTCCTTGTTCTAAAATCTATTTTTTTTTCTGATATTAAGACAGCCATTCCAGCTTTCTTTTATTATTAGCACACTATATGTTTTCTGTCCTTTTACTTTTAACCTATTTGTGTCTTTATATTTAATTATTGAGTTTTCTTCACACTTCAGCTGGCAGGAATGTGTCTATATATATATATAAATATTTTTTTTCTTTTTTTTCCCATGGACCACCAAGTTAGAATGTGTCTTTATATTTAAAGATGGTTTGTTAAAGACAACATATATTAGGTCTTGGTTCTTTTGTCTAATCAAACTCTGCCTTTTGATTGGAATGTTTAGAACTTTTACATTTAATGTGGCACTAGATATGGTTGGGCTTAAATCTATCAATTTCCTACAGTATTGGCCCTTGTTTCTTTTTTCTTGGATCCTTTGAGATTAAACACTTATTTCTTACGGTCCCATTTTATCTTCATTTCTGACTTATTAGCTATACTTATGTATAGTGCTTGATTTACGGTTTACAGTATACATCTTTATCACAAATAATAGTATCCTACTTCATATACAATGTAAGAAATTTACCATACACTTCCATTTCCCACCTTCCATCATTTTTGTTACTTTTGTATACATTTTACTTCTACATATATTATGAATCTCATATTGTTATTTTTGAACACTCAATTAACTTTTAAAGAGATTAAAATAAGAAAAAAGTATTTTATATTTATCATTTTCAGTGCTTTTCAATTCTTTGTGTAAATTCAAGATTCTGTCTAGTGTCATAGTCCTATCTACAGAAATTCTTTTAATTTTTCATGCAGTGCAGGTCTTCTGATAATGCATCCTCTAGGTTTTTGTCTGTCTGAAATGGTCTTTATTTTTCTTTTATTTTGGGTATAAAATTATGGGTTTGTAGGTGTTTTTTTCTCTTCCTACCTCTCCCAAGAACTTTTGTATTATTCCATTGTCTTCTGACTTCTATAGTTTCTGATGAGAAGTCCACTATAATTCTTATTTTGATTCCTTTGTAAGTAATAATTCTTTTTTTATCCATCAACTTTTAAGCTTTTCTGTTTATCACTGTAACAGTGATAAACTCTGTAAGCAATGATTCCTTTTTTAATCCATCAACTTTAAAGCTTCTCTGTTTATTACTTTAATTCAGCAATTTGATTTTTCCCAGTTTTTTATTATGGTAAATTACACATAACATAAAAATTTGCCATCTCAATCATTTCTAAGCGTACAGCTGAGTGGAATTCAAATTCATAATGCTGTGCAACCATCACCACTATCTGTCTCCATAAACCTTTTCATTTTGAAAACTGAAACTCTACACCCACTAACCAATATGGCACTTCCCCAGTATTTCCAACAATATGGTGTTTCCTCAGTATTTCCCTATTCCTTTTTTCCCTGCAACCCCTGGCAACCACCATAGTACTTTTTATTTCTATGACTTTGACTACTCTATGTGCCTCTCAGCAATTTGATTTTCATGGTGACTTGGCATAATTTTCTTTAGGTCTTTAATATTTGGATTTTAACGAACTTCTTTAATCTATAGGCTGTAGTTTTCATCAAATATGGAAAATATTCCGCCATAATTTTTCAAATATTTTTTTCTATCTCTGCCCCCTTCTTTCCTGGGTCTACAGTTATATTAGATCTTTCATATTTTCTGGAAGGTTATTGAGATTCTGTTCATTATTTTTAAGTCTCTTTTCTTCCTATCCTTCATTTGGTTAGTCTATATTGTCATGTCTTCAAGTTCACTGATCTTCTGAAGTGTCTAATCAGTTGCAAATCCCATCTATTGTATCCTTATTTCAAATATTCTATTTTTTTCTTTCTTTCATGTTCACAGTTTCCTTTACATCCTTGAGCATATTTGTAATATTCATAACAGCTGCTTTATGGTCTCTTTGTACTAATTCTATAGCCTGTCCTTTTTTTTTTTTTTTTTTTTTTTTTGTGACAGAGTATTACTCTGTCACCCAGGCTGGAGTGCAGTGGTACAATTTTGGCTCACTGCAACCTCCGCCTCCTGGGTTTAAGCGATTTTCCTGCCTCAGCCTCCTGAGTAGCTGGGATTACAGGTGTCTACAACCATGCCCAGCTAATTTTTGTATTTTTAGTAGAGATGGGGTTTCACCACGTTGTTCAGGCTGGTCTCAAACTCCTGACCTCATGATCCACCCACCTTGGCCTCCCAAAGTAACCTGTCATTTTTAAGTCTGTTCCTATTGGTTGATTTTCTTCTCAGATATGGGTCATATTTTCCTGTATCTTTTCATGTCTGGTAATTTTGTATTAGATATTGAACATTTTAAATTTTACGCTGCTGAGTGCTGGATTTTGATATAGTCCTGTAAAGAATGTTGCATTGGTTTTTTTCTGGCATATTTTTCAGTCACTTGTAGATCCATCTGACCCTTTCAAGCTTTCAAACTTTGTTATGGCAAGTCCAGAGCAGTTTTTACTCCGGGAATAATTTATCCCGACCACTAGGCCATGACATTTCTGTGAACTCTACCCAATTCTTATCTAATACCATGTCTCTCCATTCTGGTTTATGGTAAAACGAAACATTCCTAGTCCTGTTTAAGCCCCAGAAATCGTTCAGCCTTCAGCCTTTTGGTGGGTATTTCGCCAGTCTTAGCTTCTTCTCATGCATGTGTAGATTATTGCTCAGCCAAAAACTTAAGGAGACTTCTCTTCAGGTTTCTGAACATTTTTTTGTGCAGCTCCTTCCTTTAGGGTTCTCCCTATAAATCATAGCTTCTTTGGCCTCCCTGAATTCTTATTTTTATCTTCCCAACCCAGAAATCTGGAATTCATTTGGATTTCCTACAATATGGCCTAAAAAGTGACCCCAGTACTAAATGGGGGCAATTGTAGGACTCACCTTGTTTTTCTTCCTTCAGAGATTGTTGTACTGTGCCTGTTGTCCAATGTCTAAAAAGAGTTAACATATTTAACTACTTTTTAGTTGTTAATAATGGCAAGGGCACAATTTAATTTTTGAAATTATTTTTCATTAGCAGACTTGGGTTTCATTTTGCCCATTTTTTTTTCCTAAGGAACTTATACTATTTGTAAATACTAAAGAGTAAAGGATTGAATAAATGATTTCATGCTCTACCAGTCCTTTCCCCCCAGTATTTGTTCTTTACTTTGTTCTGTCACCTCACAGCAGCAATTTTCAACTTTTTTTGGTAGACAAACTATACTAAAAATGTGATATTTAACAGAATTATTGGCAGCATTCTTCAAGAAATCAAGAGATGCAAAACAACAGAAACAAATTAATAATGATCAAAGCACAATCATCAATCCAGCTTAACAATGAAGGGTCTTTTAGTGTCTATAAAAGCAGCCCCTAGGGCCTGGTGCAGTATGCCTGTAATCCCAGCACTTTGAAAGGCTGAGGTTGGGGGATAGCTTCAGCTCATGACCAGCCTGTGCAACACGGTGAATCTCTATCTCTATAAAAAATATAAAAATTAACCAGGCACGGTGGCCTGTGCCTGTAGTCTCAGCTACCTTGGGGGCTGGGGCAGGAGGATCACTTGAGCCCAAGAGGTCAAGGCTGCAGTAAACTATGTTCATGCCACTGTTCTTCAGCCTGGGTGACAAAGTGAGACCCTGTCTCAAAAAGTAACCAGAGTAGCCACTATTCATTTACTACTCCTCAGTGCTATGCCATTTTAGTAAGAACTATCTATTGCCCTAGCTTTAATAAAGCTGTTATTTAAAAATGTATGAGTGTTCTGGAATTATAAGTGATTAGAAAAATATTAAGCTTCCTGTTATATAGTAGTCCACCCTTGTCTGTCATTTCATTTTCCAGTTTCAGTTACCCACGGTCAACTGTGGTTTGAAAATATTAAATGGAAAATTCCAGAAATAAATAATTCATCTGTTTTAAATTATGCACCATTCTGATGCATGTGATGAAACCTCACATCGCCTGGCCCCACCCCTCCTGGGATGCCAGTCATCCTTGTCCAGCACATCCAAGCTGTATTTGCTACCTCATTAGTCACTTAGTAGCCGTCTCGACTGTCAGATCCACTGTCATGTTGTCTCAGAACTCGTGTTCAAGGAACTCTTATTTTACTTAATAATGGCCCCAAAGGACAACAGTAGTGATGCCAGCACTTTGGACGTGCCAAAGAGAAGCTGTAAAGTGCTTCCTTTAAGTGAAAAGGCGAAAGTTCATGACTTAATAAGACAAGAAAAAAAACTGTATTCTGAGGTTGCTAGTATCTACAGTAAGAATAAAACTTTTTTTCCATGAAATTTAAAAGGGGGAAAAATTGGTGCTAGTAAACTATAAATCTACAGCCACAGAGCAGGATGAGTGCTTAGTTAAGACGGAAAAGGCATTACATTTGTGAGTGGAAGTTATGAACAGAAACAGTGTGATTGACAGTAATCAGTTTGGGTATGATCCACTGTTTCACTGGCATCTACTGGCGGTCTTGGAACTCATCCCCCATGAATAAGGGAGGACTACTGTAATACTAATGTATGTACTCTGTCAAAATTTAAGAAAATGTGAGAAATTACAAAAAAAATTTTAAACAATCCCCCATCCTACCATCAAAAGACCACAGTGTTAATAATGCTTTCCGGTCTTCTCACTGCAGACCTGTGAAGTCAGGATGAGAGTAGGTACAGGCCAGATGTGAACACAGCACCGCCCAGGTGTGCCTCACTGGCCCACTTGCTTGTACAACTGTTCGTGACAGGATGGCATGGGCCTAGAATCTAAGAAAGAGCAGCAAAGATATACCACCTTCCAAATCAACAACATATGTTTAAGCAATTCCTAGGTGAGGGTCAGTGCAGCAGTCCAGAGTATCCGGTCCTGGGTTCAAGGTTATGCTCTGCCACTTAATAGCTCTGATTTTAGATGAGCCACTTAACCTTTTGAGCCCATTTCCTCCTCCATAAACTGGGAGTGCCTACAGTATCTTGCTCTTAGGCTGATGCATGTGAAGTGGTTAATACTGCCTGTCCTGCAGTAGGCTTCTATTAATGTAGGGTTTTAATATATGCACAGGGATGGCATATAAACAACTTAAAATAACAGCTATCATTTGTGGAACCTGTATAGTACTAAATGCCTTCTGTGGAATACCTCATGCAATGTTTACAATAATCCAATGAAGTATAATCCCCATTTTTGCAGATGAGAAAACTGAAGTTTGGTGGGGGGTTAAGTAACATGCCCAAGGTCACAATTAGAAGTGAGGTGGGAATCAGGCTTTGAACTCAGGAAGTTTGACTTCTACTCACTCCTTAACTTCTCATACTGAATGTTAACTTGATAAATTTTGACATTTAGCACCCCTGAGTGGGTGTGATTGGTTCATTATTATTATTTTTAGAGACAGGATCATATGCTGTCATCCATGCTAGAGTGCAGTGGTGCAGCCATAGCTTACTGCAACCTCAAACTCCTGGGCTCAAGTGATCCTCCCACCTCAGCCTCCAGAGTAGCTAGGACTACAGACATCTGCCACCACACCTGGCTAGTTATAAAATTATTTGTAGAGACATTGGTCTCGAAATCCTAGTCTAAAGTGATCTTCTCATTGGGATTGCCTTCTCACTGGGATCAAAGCACTGGGATTACAGGCGTGAGCCACCGTGCCTGACGTGGTTGGTTTTCTGAAGTTAGAATATTACATATAGTTTTCAAAATATAAAACAAACAAGGGATGGCTGGGTGTATACGGGTGGTTATACATATGGGAAATGTTTGACTCTCTTGAAGCAGAATGCTAGGTTTCATCAGAACACAGTTTAAAGACTCCTGGGGGAAGTTTACTGTTGGGCAGTTCTCATTGTTGGAAATTTCCTTCCTGTCTCAAAGCTGATTTTCTTTTTCTTTTTTCTACCCTAATTCCAACGTTTGAAACCAACTCAGAATAAGTCTCATTTTTCTTCCACATTGGTGATTTTCAAAATGCAAGTCATAGTCTACAGTCTTTTGTGAAGTTTTAGCTGTGGTGGGTCACAATGTAAAACGCATATACCATGAGTCACAGTCAAAATGTTCGATATGACTATTCTGCAAGAATTTGAAGGCAGCTGTCACACCCCACCACCTAAAGACTGATCTTCTCTGCATGGGACCTCCTTGGCTTTTGCCACAACTCCTCGCTGCACGGGAGCTCCTTTTCCTCACCGTACCAGGGCATCGACCTATGGTCCTGTCACCAAATTCACAAGACTCTCTGCTCAAACCTTCTTAGGGATGACTTCCCTGACCACCCACTCTTAAGAAGTACCAACCCATCTCTCTCTAGCCCCTTACTCTGCTTTAACTTTTTCAAAGCACTTTTTACTACCCAACATTACATTGTGCGTTTATTACTTTACTTGTTTATGATCTTCCCGGATACAAAGTTCATCTCTAAATCTTCAGTCTATTTCCTGGCATATAGTATTTGCTCAATTGGTTGGGCATAGTGGCTCACATCTGTAATCCCAGCACTTTGGGAGGCTGAGGGGGAAGGATGGCTTGAGACAGAAGTCCAAGACTAGCCTGGGCAACATAGCGAGGCCCTGTCACTACAAAAATAACAATAATAATAATTGTAATGAGTAATTTTTAAAAATAGTATTTTATCCATAAATATTTGTGGAATGAATGAATGAATACTAGAGGTAGGCGCATTTTGGTAATAGTGTGTACAGATGTGCTCATAATTCTTTCCTTCAGGATTTAGATTCTATAAGGACAGCTCACATGCTGACAACTATAGGCACGGTTTCATTTTATCATTTCATAATTTTTAAAAACGTTATATATGCTAAGTATTATCACATAATTACATTATACATGTTGCTGTACAGGGTATATCAACATGTGGTAAACTGTGTACACGTTACTTTAGATGGAATATTTTGGATGTCCTGAGTAGTTTCCACTGTAGGTGATTTTTGTCTGCTCAGTTATAAGCATCTTGGAAGTAGTTTACACTTTTTCAAAGCACTCTCAGGTAAATAACCCATTCCATAGTTTTCACAGGCTGAGAAAGTGTGTCAGAGAGCTGGAAGGAGATTTAGCGGCGGGCTAGTGGCCACCAGATTCCAATCTCACCCTTTCGTTTTACAGACGGGTAAATCGAGGCCCAGAGCAGGGAAGACGTTTGCTGAGGGACACCCCATAAGCTGGGGTGGACCTGGGAGTAGAAATCAGGCCTTCGGCTTCCACCTACTGCCAGGCACAGAAGCCCTCCAGGTGGCTAAGCCAGATGGGTCGGACGCCCACGCCTCTTGCAGGAGCTCGGTAGAGCAGGCAGACCCTGGTTGTCACCATTTTTCAGGTGGGAACACCGAGGGCACGTCCCAAGGCAAGGGCACCTCCCACGGTGGCTTCTTCCCGCCCTAGGGCTCCACCTAGCTCTGCCCTGGAATTCCGCACGCAGCCGGAGGGCGTCCCATGTGGTGCGCCGCGTCCTCCTCCCCACGACCTCAGGGGCTGGTCCCCCCAGCCGGAACTGCCTCCTACCTGGTCGGGTCCCAGGAGCTGAATCTGGCCAGCCCAACCTCCCGGTCGCTATGGCAACCACAGGCCTAACATTGGCTAGCCCACCTTCGGCCCTCCGCGGGATAAATCCAGCCAATAGCATCCTCTGTTTCTGTAGCGTGAAAAATTGTTGACCAATCGTTAGAGGCGTTTCAAAGTCCTCAGAGAAGCCGGCAGAATTTTAGGGCTTAGGTTAATTGTATCAGGACGTTTGGCGGGGTGGGGAACTAATGCATATTTATCTAGGTGACGCCTCAAAAATCTTGTGATAAACCAAAAGCCTTAGAATTTTGCTCACTCAAAAATCCTGCTTCAAGGAATATGCCTGAGAATTACCATTCATCCAAGCCCTGCTTCTAACAGCAAAAAAAGATTGACATGGGCGAATAGACAAGGGCAGCCACTTAATATTTATTCCAAGAACCTCTCTTCACACGCTTCAGGGCAGGGTGGTCACAGCGATCTTGTCACTTCCCTGCTTAAAGTCCTCCAATGGCTGCCCTTTAAATTTAGGGTGAAATCTGAGTTTGTTTTTCGACGGGGTCTCGCTCAGTCGCCCAGGCTGGAGTGCAGTGGCGCCATCTCTGCTCGCTGCAACCTCCGCCTCCCGGGTTCAAGAGATCCTCCCGCCTCCGCCTCCGCCTCCTGAGTAGTTGGGACCACAGGCGCTCGCCACCACGCCCGGCTAATTTTTAAATTTTTTTGTAGCGATGTTGCCCAGGCTGGTCTCAAACTCCGGGGCTTAAGTGATCCTCCCGACCTCCTAAAGTCCTGAGATTACAGGCGTCAGCCACCGTGCCGAGCCCCAAACACATTATTTATAAACTGTCCCCTGCCCGTTCCTCAGATCGCAGCCCCAAACCATATCTCCGGAAAAATCTCTCACCAGCCCTGCTGGCCTTCGGGCAGTTCCTACAATGAACCGGCTCCTTCCCTCTCTCCCAAGTTCCCCAGGAGCATTCCCTGCCCCAGGATCTGAGACCAGAACTGCCTCTTTCTCATTGTTGATGTCTGGGCCCAAATGACATTTCTTCATTTGTAAAACGGGCTTCATGTCTCACTGGTGGCTGTGAGGATCTGAAAGCAAATGCGTGTACATAACAACGTGTGAGCAATGAGAAGCTTTTTGTCATCTGTTAATCTCCATGAGCATGTTGATTATCACAGCCGTTATAATTACGTGCATTATGGAAACACTAACCAAGCACTAGGCTCCAACAGGTGTTCCAAGAGGGCGGGAAAGGAGAGAAATATTTGGCCCCAAGTACTGGCGAGGGCTAGGGAGAGCTGGGTCTTCAAGGACGTTTTGGATTTGAATACTTGGTGAAGGCGTGGGGTAGGGGAACAGCAGGAGCACAGCTGGGAAGGTAGCTATGAGGTTAAGAAGGGAGAACACCTAGCAGGCTGCTAAAACCAGGCCCACCTGTCGGACAGGTGAGGGCGAGCAAATCACCTGAGCTCTCTAGGATAGGGAGACCGGGTAGAGGAGTCGCCGCAACATCCTTCCTGTGGCCGCTAGAGGGCCCCCGCGCCAGGTGAGCGCCAAGCTCTAGCCCCAGGTCGCTCCCCTACCCTTCAAGCAAGCTTTGCAGTGCAGCCAATTGCCGGGGGCTGTCCCGCCCATCCTCCTCCTCGCAGCCACTCGCCTGCGCGAAGTGCCTGCCAACTTCTGACTGGCAGGCAGTCTGGCAAATCAAATCGCGACCTTTGAAAGCAAAACACTGCAGCGTCTTGGCAGCTCTGAGTCGGGAAGGGATCAGGGAGGCTGTGCCTCCGGGTTGCACAGAGTCCGAGTCATTTCTCAGAAGGTTTTGATAGGTGGGCCTTAGAGGAGACGCCGTCGGTGAGTAGTGATTAACAGTGGGAGGAAGGGGAATTGAATTTAGCCTTAGCTTTTTTCAGGAAAAAGCGAAGTCACCTAACGTCCCCTAGTGTACATACACTACCTTCTTGCTGCCTCGTCAACCTGGGTTCCGTTGCCTCAGAATGCTCTTTCCAGTTTTGCCTCGAGACTAAGAGGAACGAGGGCACGGGCTACCTTAATAAAGGTGATGCCAGGCTCCACCAAACCAGGAAGTGACATGGAGTAACTTTGCCAGAATTTCTCCTCTTCGTGCCGAGCGGCTCGGGCTTCCTGGCGGCAGCAGATGGTGGAGTTAGCAGGTGGGATGAGGGGAGGCGATCTTGGTCTAAGCCCGCTTCTGGAGCAGAGGTGCTGTCTCCTCGAGTCGTAGAGTTTCCAACTCAATGGGAGGGGACGGAAGAATGTAACCTTCTCGTGAGCCAAAGCCCAGAAACGGGAAGGTTAGCAGGGAACTGGCGCTTACCTCCAGAAGCCAGATCGTCAGGTGGTGGGGAAGAGGCAAATTCGAATACAGACCTTACCCTGAGCGGCCGTGAGCCCTGCTCTGTCATCTGTAAAACGTGGTGTGTGGAACTGATGGAATCCGTCATCGAGATAAGCAGAGGGTGGATGGAAGCAAAGCACCTAGTGAATTCTCATTCCTTTCGCCTGCTTTAAGTGTGAGGTGGCTGACAACGCAGAGCTGACTGCTTGCCTCTGGACATGTGTAGGTCCTGGAGAAGTGCTTGGAAACCAGGAAAAGAGAGTCACAGGCGAAGAATGTGTGTCTTATAAGGGAATACAGCTTGCAAAGGGTTCCTCCAGGCTTTCAGTCCAGACTCCTACCCAGCTGAGGGACAGCCTTCTGTCTTTGCAGACAATGCCCCAGAGGCCTGGGAGTTCCCGAGGCAGAGAGGGAAGCTGCTTTTTAAAAGAAAAAATAAGCCGCAGCAATGCCAACCACTACTAACAAAAGCCAGACCAGAAAAGCACTTGGGCAAACTCACTGGTCTAAAGGATGTTAGGCGGCCTGGGTTCCCCTTGGCTGACATGTCCCTAGGGTCTGTTGGCTTTCTCTGACCTTCTGCGGGTAGGGCTGAGTATATCTGTTTGTTGGAGCTCTGGAGTTGTGGTTGATTAGGCCTTAGTAAGGCATTCTTGACTGTGAAGTGGCCACAGCGCACCAGGTTCTTAACTGGCCTGCATTTAGTCGGTCGGTTTGTATGTATGTAAGTCACTGTCAGGCTTGGGGCTAGATCTCAGCTGGGAGCAACCGAAAGGGTATTCCACAAACACCTCACTGGAGTTTGCACTCCTGTGCCCCCTCAACTCCATGACTGCTTCGTGGCTGAATGCTTCCCAGGGCCTCTCAGAGGTAGAAAGAGCCCTGAGCCACTCTTAAGGCTCTTATGATTATTAAAAATGCTTAAAACAGTTTTACAGAAATTTAACACAATAATGCTTTTCATGTGCACGTGAAAGTATAGTGAATAATTATGCTTTCCACAAGACTGCAAACACATATTCACAGGGTTTTGCAGTCAGGGAAGTCTAGTTGTGGGATGTGAATTACCTGATGAAGTTACCTGATGAATGCAAACATCTCCTGTCTGTACACTGGCTATATAACCTTGCCTGCAGGTAGTGGCAATAATTTAATCCTGGGGCCCTCTGACAAAGTGAACCAGGCCAAATGGTTTCTGTAGCTGTCCCTGTGCTAAACCTGCATCTGTTGTTTCCTAGTACTGGACATGATGTTTGCCTTAAGACCTGTGCATGTGCTGTTTACACCATGAACCAGGATTCCTGGGCCTAGGGCTGGATAGCAGAAGAAACTGGAAGCTGCAGGATACACAGGTGGCAGCTCCCTGAAGCCTCAGGTAGTGGCAGAAATTGTTTAGCTCACAGTGAGCCCTCAGCAAATATTTGTTGAATGAACACATGAGAGAGAAAAATGAGCAAAATAAATTATTAAACAGGGGAGAATACAATTCATCCTAACAGCAGCTCACATTCATCGACCATTTGCTATGCCTGCATTTTACATGTATTGTTTCATCAAATTTTCATAACTGCCATGTGGGGTGGGAACATTATTATCTGTATTTCCCAGCTGCAGAAACTGGCTGAAAAGTTAAATGACCTGGCAGAGGTAAAACAGGTAGCATGTAGCATATCAAAAGCAATTTAAAACATTTTTTTCTATTAAACATAAACTATGCAGTAGAATACATTTTTTAAAAATATATACAAAGTCCTCAAAGAAACCTCTGACACTTTTAAGTAGGGTTTTGGCCATGCCTCTGAGAACACTGGGAGTGTACTTTCTCTTCTCTGTTTGGTAGAAAAGTTTTATAAGTGGCACATACCTGTAATCCCAGCACTTTGGGAGACTGAGGCAAGTGGATTGCATGAGCCCAGGAGTTCAAGACCAGCCTGATAACATGGCAAAACTCTGTCTCTACAAAAAAATTAGCCAGGCCTGGTGGCACGCGTCTGAGGTCCCAGCTACTTGGGAGGCTGAGGGAGAATCACTTGAGCCCAGCCAGTCGAGGCCATGTTCGTGCCACTGCACTCCTGGGTGGCAGAGTGAGATTCTTTCTCCAAAAAAAAGGGAAAGTTCAAGAAGCACTGAAAATATAAGTCCAATGAAATTAACAGGGATTATCATCATTGCTAGGTTTATTTGAGGCCACATTGTTACCCCCGCTTTACAGATGAGGCAGCTGAATCTCTGAGGGGCAAAGTTACCTGGTCACACAGGTTTTCTACCTCTGAGACCAGTGTTTCCTCACCTGTGTCAGGCCAACCCTTGGTAACAGGCCAGTTCTAACGTCTTCCATGGAAGTAACTTTTCTTTGGATTCTTTTCTTCCTAAGTTGAAACTTACATGGTTCCCTTTTTGTGGTAGTGGAATTTTTTTTTTTTTTTTTTGAGACCTGGAGAAGTAGACATGGTTAGTATTCTACTTCTTGTGCTCAAGAGCTATGGAAAAAGGGAGGATTTAAATTAGGATGCAATGGGAGGAAGGAAGCAGAGGAGAAGAGGAAAGAGGACATTTAAGAGCCAGGGAGAAAGCTTTGGAGATAGATGAGTCACGTTTTTATTAAGGGAAGGACAAAAGCCTGATAGAACTTGTTTTTAACCCCTAGGATTTGGATTTTGAAAAATTTGTTAAATGGCCTCACTTGTCACGGCCAGTTATGCTTTGTCTGAATGGTATTCTCTTCTCAGGTAACAAAGCTGGGCTCAGTGTTTCCTTGTCCATGCATTTTTAATGTTCCTCTCCAGCACCCTAGAGCACCGCAAGAATTGGAAAACACACCCCTCTCTGTGTGCCTGGGAAACACGGAAATAGGCACTTCTCTGAGTAAAGCTGAGGAGAAGGCTGTAAATCAGCCAAAGGAGCCTCGAAGTACTCTTTTGGCGTGAGGAAGAGATGGCTGCTGAAGGGAGGTGAACACCACGAGGAGAGATGGCATCTACCCTGGGTCCTGCCTAGCAGCAGCTCCAGCCCCTGAGCCAGGCCTGGCACCATGAGCCACTAGACCACCATGGACGGAGCCCACAGCGCAGCCCTGCAGCTGCAGCAGCTGCCTCCCACGAGCAGCGCCAGCGCCGTGAGTGAGGCCTCCTTCTCCTACAAGGCAAGGGCTTTTGTTGGGTTTGGGAATTTGTATTTTTCTAACAAGAAAGTTACGCAGTGCTCTGCACTGGCTTATGGGGTCTGCATGCCTGTCACTGGCAGGCCCTTCACACAGACAAGGGAATGTGTATTCCAAAGAAAAGAGATGCTCACTGAAATACATAAAAATAAGGAGGCAGAGGCTGGGCGCAGTGGTTCTCACCTGTAATCCCAGTTCTTTGGGAAACTGAGGCAGGTGGATCTCCTGAGGTCAGGAGTTCGAGAGCAGCCTGACCAACATGGAGAAACCTCATCTCTACGAAAAATGCAAAATTAGCCAGGCGTGGTGGTGCATTCCTGTAATCCCAGCTACTCGGGAACCTGAGGCAGGAGAATCGCTTGAACCTGGGAGGCTGAGGTTGTAGTGAGCCAAGATCACGCCATTGCACTCCAGCCTGGGCAACAAGAGTGAAACTCCGTTCCTAAATAAATAAATAAATAAGAAGGCAGAGAAATACCATAAAAGGTAGGGAATAAAAGGAATGCATTCCCACTTAGATTTGATTTTTAAAAAATCATGTACTCTGGGCTGGGTATGGTGGCTCATGTCTGTAATCTCAGCACGTTGGGAGGCCAAGGTAGGAGCATCTTTTGAGGCTAGAAGTTTGTAACCAGCCTGGGCAATGTAGCAAGACCCTGTCTATGCAAAAAATTTGAATATTTGCCAGGTGTGCTGGCATGCATCTGTAGTCCTAACTATTCAGGAGGCTGAGATGGGAGGATAGCTTGTGCCTAAGAGTAGTTTGAAGGTACTGTGAGCTATGATTGCACCACTGCACTCTAGCCTGGGTGACAGAGCAAGACCGTGTTGCTAAGAAAAAAAACAAATATGTGTGTGTGTGTGTGTGTGTGTGTGTGTATCACCTCCTCCATTACTTGGGAATAATTTTCATTCATATTTCAATGTATCTCCTTGTTTTTTTCTAGTAATTTGGGGTCACATTGCACATAAAGTTTTGTGTCTTGGTTGTTTAACTTGACCTTACTTGTGGAATATTTCCCCATATCATTGAGTAGTGACTGAAAGCATACTTTTTGAATGATTGCCCAATAATCTGTTGAGCTACTATGTCAAAATGTGCTCCACAGATCCTCTATTGCTGGATATTCAGGTTGCTTCTAATCTGGAGTAGCCATATGAACCTTCTGGAGGGTTAATCTCTGTGCTGATCTCTGATTCTTTCCTTAGATATAGTCATATAGGTACAATGAATAGTCGAAGGGAATAAACCTTTTTTAAAAAGGGGGTTTTAATGTCAAATTTAAGTGTTTCTAAACACCAACCAATGCAGCATCTGATGACTTGGATTTATTGAAAATTATTTTTTTAAAGATCAGGGAGGCTGGGCATGGTGGCTCACACCTATAACCTCAGCACTTTGGGAAGTCAAGATGGGTGGATGGCTTGACTTCAGGAGTTCAAGACCAGCCTGGGCAAACATGGTGAAACCCTGTCTCTACCAAAAATACAAATAATTAACCAGGCATGGTAGTGCACACCTGTGGTCCTAGCTACTTGGGAGGCTGAGTGGGGAGGATCACTTGAGCCCAGGAGGCAGAGGTTGCAATGAGTCAAGATCACACCACTGGACTCCCGCCTGGGTGACAGAGTGAGACCCCCATCTCAAAAAAAAAAAAGAAAAAGAAAAAAAAAGATTAGAGACTGCTAATACCCTAGAGCTAAAGGAGACTCTGGAGATCATCTCATCAAGCCTCTCATTTTATAGATTGGGACAGTGAGGCTGGGAGGTGAGAAGTGACATACTTCAGATCCTATAGCAAGTTGAGAGGCAGAGCTAGAACTGTTGTTAATTTTAGATAATCATGATGAACCGAATAACAATGACTAATATTTATTGAGCATGTATTCTATCCCAGGTACTGTGCTGAGTTGATCACATGCCTTTCCTTGGGTAATCTTCACACTAGCACTATACAGTAGATCCAGTTTTCCTCTTCGGTAACATGGGGATCATAATAGTAACTGCCTCCTGGTAGTGGTGAGGATGAAATGAATTTATTCATGTGAAGCAGCACTTAGGCAATGACCCACACATCATGGCCAACGCTTGTCAAGGGCTAGCAGTTACCACCTTCATCCCCACTTTAGTACCAGGAAAATGAGACACAGAGAGGTTCTATAATGGTCCTGACTGGCACAGCTAGTAAGTTGTGCAACCAGAATTTAAACCTAGGCGAGACCGGCTGCAGAACTCATGCTCCTAACTTTGGCGCTGCTCCGCCTCTCTGGTGTCCTGACTCCTACTGCCGCCACCACACCCCAGTGTGCCCAAGGAGGGGACTCTGCAGATCATTGAAGGGCTTTTGTCATTTTAATTCCATCTGACCAGCCAGGTGGAATATATACGGAAATTATGAACCTTTGTCTGGAATTAGACTCATTCTAGAGGCGAAGAGTGACTCTGACATTCTCAGCAGACTCTGCCTCACCGAGCAGTCAGTTTCAGAGCTAAGATGGCGTGATCGTTTCAGCATTGGCATCTCGCTCCTTGATCTTCTTTCCGTGAAAGCTTGTTGTTTCCCCTTCCTATGTGGCTGCTATATTCATCTAGGGCTCTGTTGGGAAGAGTATCAGACTGAGGACTAGGAGACCTGAGTTCTTGGCCCAGCTCTGTCATCCCTGGCTATGTGATCTTGGGCAAGTGTCATCCCTTCTCTACGCCTCAGTTTCTGTCTCTGTAAAATGAAGAGGCAGAGTTCATAGATGGTCTCCAGTCCTGCCTAACCACCTGAAATACCTGGGGAGCTCAAGAATATGCAGATTTCTAGGCCTCAGACTCATCTCTCTCTGCCCACCCTTTCACCCCCTCATCTCTACCTGCCTGCAAATTGTGGTTTTGCATAACTAAGCTAGAAGCCCAGAACATGCATTTTGTAAAACCTCTTCAGGTGAATCAATCAGCCAGGTGTGGGAATTTCTGGACCACATGATCTACTAAGCTCCTTCCCACACCAGCTCCATCATCCTGATAAATCGAGATCTCAGGCCACCACGTCTTAGTCAGCACTGATATTCAAAGTCAGCAAAACACTCTTTCAAGTAGGCAGTGACACTGTTCCCCTCCTTGGAGGTGTCTACTTGCTTCACAGAGCATTATTCAAATGGAGCAGGATTTCAAGTCAGAAAATACTTTTCCTGACTGGCCTTTTTATTAAAGTAGGGTATACATACAGAAAAATATACAAATGATAAGCTCTAGATGTTAAATTTTAATGAAGAGGGTGCATATGTGTTATTGACGCCCAAATCAAGAAACGGAACATTACTAGTACCCGAAAGTCTCCTTGTGCCTCCTGCTAGTCACTTCCCTCCCCTCAGGGGTAATCACCCTCTCTTCAAGTCAGAAAACACATTGATGATGGCACAGTCTTGACTTCAGAGGAAATTCAGGAGCTACTGGTCAGCCTGAGTGAATACCACCAGGGCCTTAAATATTGAAGGTGCTGAGTGTGTTCATTCTGTGAAGGAACCAGAGCATTCCATTCTGCTTTTGGTATTCAGAGTCTAAACCATTTCTAATGTAATGATAGAAGCTGTTCTCTTGAGTTATGGAGATGATGGAATGACAGCATGGATGGCTAAGGCCATTGAAGAAGATTTTTGTTATTTACGTTTCCTAAAAGAAGGAGGCACATCATGCTGTGGAGGGCCCCATGGGACACACCAAGGTCAGTTGGTCAGAGGCAGAGAGCACGTGGGGAAAGCTTAGATCAGAGCCTTTATTGTGTTTTCTGTGGGAAAGGCATGGCAGGACAGGGAGAACAGTTTAGGACTGGCTGATTTGAAGAACTGTGGGTTGTCTGGTACATAGCCCTGGGCTGACGTAGAGCAGGGGAAATATTGACCTGGGTGTGCGAGTTTAATAAGGAGATGATTGCAGCTCTGGATTGGTTAGTTAGCATATGAAAGGCATGCTCCTTAGAATATAAAAAATCAGTTAATACAATGGACCCTGTGAAGAATGGATGCCAAATGGTCAAATATAAGAATCTAAGAAAACTCAGAGCACTCTCCTTGATGAGATTTCTAGTAAGTTTCCATTTTAATCTCAAATACAATTCAGTTGCCTAGTATGGAGTATCTTCATGGCAGAGCAAAGATGAATAGGTCAAGGTGACTCTACCAAGGATGTTTGAATTGAGGTGAGGGGCAGGCAGGATTGTGATGATGCTTGAGCTGACTGAAGTACTGGGTGGGGTAAAGATGACCTGGGTCCAAATCCCCACTCTGTTCCTTCTTAGCTAAGTGACCTTGGGTGTAGGATGCATCCTCACAGAGCTCCCGTTATCTCATCTGAAGAATGATGGTTTTCATTCTTCCCTCCCAACAACTGTGTGGATCAATGAAAAAGCACCTAACCCAGTGTCTGCCCACATACTAGGCATGCAGGAAGCATGTGACTTGGAAATGCCACAGGGTTTCCAAGAGGAAGGTACACAAAGTAGAGGGGAAGGTGTGGTTAATTCTGTGTGGGGGTGGGGAGCGGGGTTTTAAGGGAAAGATGTCTCCTTTCTCCATTTTGTTAAGGCTAATTTGATTGCAAGGAGTAAAAACCCATTTTAGAGAAGCTGAGGCAAAAAGTGAAATTTTTATAAGGCTACAGGGTAGCTCATGAAATCCAGTGGTAGGGAAGACAGTGGGGCTTGGAAGGTGCTAGAACTCATACCTCCCCTTCAAAAGAGGGAAGACCTGAGTGGCCAGCTTGGGTAAGGTGTCCACCTGGTCCAGTGAGCGATGGCCAGGGAGTGCCACCCACCTGATGCCAGCTGGCAAACATGGTTTCTGAGGCTCTACTTTTACAGGGAGGTCTCAGAAAAGTGGTCATGTGGACTGGGCAGGCTGCCCCCAACTCATCTGTTACCTTTGGGAGGAGGAATATATTGAGAGACTCTAAGTCCAGCTTGATGGGTGGGATGAAGTTAGGAACAAACTGTTTGCCTTTGAGTTGCAGCCCTGCCCATCAGGGTATAAATTTTGGTTGTTGGGGAGGGCACTCTGCTACAGGGAGCCCCCCAGGCTGAGCTGCCCAGGAAGCAGCTCCCAGCAGGACATTGATACTATAGAAGTTTGACCTCAGCCCGGAAAAGTCAGGCCTCAATTCTTCTATTGGGTGAGTAGACATTTCCTCTGAGCACCTACTCTCTCCAGCTTGTGCTGGGTGGCACAGGAGCTATATAGATCAAGCTTGTCCAACCCACAGCCCAGGATGGCTTTGAATGCAGCCCAACACAAATTCGTAAACTTTCTTAAAATGTTCTTAAAACGTTATGAGATTTTTTTTAGCTCATCCACAGCTGCCATTAGTGTTAGAGTATTTTGTGTGTTACCTAAAACAATTCTTTTTCTTCCAATGTGGCCCAGGGAAGCCAAAAGCTTGGACACCCCCATATAGATAATCAAGACGGATCTTCCCTGGTTACAGTCTAGGAGGGAGGTGGGGAAGATACATTTTCACAAGTGTCTATCCCTCTAGACAGAATTCGACACAAAAATAGAGATACAACAGACTGTGAAGAGCATGGCCTTTGGAATCAGAGACTTGGCTTCAAATCCTGGCCCTATTACCTTCTTATTTTTTTAGGAGACAGAGTCTCCTGTGTGGCCCAGACTGAGTGCACAGTGACTGTAGCTCTCTGCACAAGCTCTGTTACTTTCTAGCATTATAACTTGAGGAAAATCATGTAACCCCTCTGTAGGTAGGTTTTACATCCATCCTATAGGATAGTTATGAGAATACCTGAATTTACAGAGAGCAAACTGAAGCTGCCTTGTACCACTCCCTGCTCCTGCCTTTGGAAATCCTACCCAGCCTTCTAGCGCAAGTATCACCTTTTCCATGAAGCCTTTGTCAGTCTTCCTGGTAATAAAATATAGGTCCTTCAGCCACACTTTCATAGCCAATTAACAATAACTATTGTAATCATCATAACAAGAGCAGCTCACATTATTTACTTATAGGACGGGAACTAATCCTGTCTAATCCAAACAAAAGCCCTCATGAGATCAATACCCCATTTTACCTGTAAAGAAACTGACACAGAGAGGTTAATTAACTTGCCCATGGCCACACAGTCAGTGGATAGTGTAGCTGGGGTGAGTAGCTTTGCCCTCACCTCACTTCTTTCACCAGTAACACTCCCCGTTCAGATACTGCAGTGTGAGTAGAGTGACCATAGTCCTGGTTTGTGCCTCATGCCTGTGTATGTTAATGAGCCCCCTTTTAGTCTCAGAGTCTCCCTATTTTTTTTTTTTTTTTTTTGAGATACAGTTTTACTCTGTCACCCAGGCTGGAGTGCAGTGGCGTGATCTTGGCTCACTGCAACCTCCACCTCCCAGATTCAAGAGATTCTCATGCCTCAGCCTCCCGAGTAGCTGGGATTACAGGCGTGTGCCACCACACCCAGCTAATTTTTGTATTATTAGTAGAGACAGGGTTTCACCATGTTGACCAGGCTAGTCTTGAACTCCTGACCTCAGGTGATCTGAGGAGTCTCCATATTTGGAAGATATATGGTTACCCTAAATATAAGGCTCCTGGTAGTTGGGAGACCTTACTTCCTTACCTATACAATACTGGGACCAGAGTGGTGTGGGGAGACCCTGACAGTCGCTCATTCTGTGACTTTGGCTGAGTCCTGGGCTTTCTTGGGTAACAGATCTCCACTGGGAACAGCCCCTGAGATAATCTGCCTGCCTTCTCCCCTCCCTTCCACCTCAATCGACACTGTTGATTCTACTCTGCCTTGTCAACTCGAGAAACAGTTGGGAACCTGATTGGGTGTTGCCTCCAAAGAATCAGCCTGATCTCACCAGGCCAAGCCTGGGGCCACCCGAAACATATTATATTGTAGTTCTCAGCCCTGCCTCTCTCCTGGGAACCATGTGTTCTGGGTTAAACCGTGCATGTGTACTTGAGAACGTTCCACCGCTAAAATACTCCAGTGAAGACATACAGGGTGGTTCCTCAGCAAAAAGATGAGCAGAATAGCTTGAGAAGGCTGCCAGCGGGGTCCAGAGGTGGAAGCTGGCCAGTCGCTGCCCCTTCCCTCCCTGCAGCAGAGGTCCAGAGGTGGAAGCTGGCCAGTCGCTGCCCCTTCCCTCCCTGCAGCAGAGGTCCAGAGGTGGAAGCTGGCCAGTCACTGCCCCTTCCCTCCCTGCAGCAGAACTGGGCACCCGCATTTATGGTTTCCAAGCCCAAGGTCTGGAGGAAGAGCTTGCTGGCAGGAGTCATCCTTGCCTCCCGATTGCCCTGTGCCACGCACTGCAGGGCACCTCATAGGTGTGTGCACAAACCTTGTAACCCTGGGCTGGTGGCAACTTCTTGGCCTGTCTTTGAACGCTCATAAAATTGGACTTGTCATCACTTCACAAAGGTTTGGGGGCATAATTACTGTTGATGAAGCCCTTTGAAATGCTTAGGTGCAGTTATAGTATGCTATTGTTAATCACGGCTGTCTGTAACTGGTTATTACATGTGGACATTCATATGCTTATGGAAATGGCTTGTAAAAGAAGCCTCAGCCATTTGTGTCCTTAGTGGAAATGCAGCACTTACAAGGTTATTTTTTTCCTAATTGACTTTGCCACCTTTGAAGGACACTTCATAGAATACAATGGAGACAGTCTGGAGGAGTAATTAGCATCAAGAGGCTGGAAGCCGGGCTTAGATGCTAAAAACAGGACGCATAGTAACACCCATCTCATAGTGTTGTTTGTGGCCCTAAGAGGAGGGTGCGCAGAAAGGGCTTAGTGCACCATGTGCTCCATCAATACCAGCCTTTATTATCCTAGTAACTATCAGGGATCAGAAAACCGTACCTTAAAAAGAAAGCCTCAGCCGGGCGCGGTGGCTCACGCCTGTAATCCCAGCACTTTGGGAGGCTGAGGCGGGTGGATCACGAGGTCAAGAGATCAAGACCATCCTGGTCAACATGGTGAAACCCCGTCTCTACTAAAAACACAGAAAATTAGCTGGGCATGGTGGCACGTGCCTGTAGTCCCAGCTACTCGGGAGGCTGAGGCAGGAGAATTGCTTGAACCCGGGAGGCGGAGGTTGTGGTGAGCCGAGATCGCGCCACTGCACTCCAGCCTGGGTAACAAGAGCGAAACTCCGTCTCAAAAAAAAAAGAAAGCCTCAGAAGCAAAAGTTTCTCTCTGACCTTCTGCCCTCCTTTCTCTGGCCCCACTTCTTTACCAGGATAGCCATAGAAACTGCAATCCCTCTTTCCCAAGACAAGTCATAGAAATCAGAACCCCTGCAGGCACTGAGGTGGCTCATGCTTGTAATCCTAGAACTTTGGAAGGCTGATGGCAGGTGGCTAACTTGAGCCTAGGAGTTCGAGACCAGCCAGGGCAACATGATGAAATACCGTCTCTACTAAAAATACAAAAATTAGCTGAGTATAATGGTATGCACCTGTAGTCTCAGCTACTCAGGAGGCTGAGGTGGGAATATGGCTTGATCTCCAGAGATGGAGGTTGCAGTGAGCTGAGATTGCATCACTACATTCCAGCCTGGGTGACAGAGTGACACCTTGTCAGAGAGAGAGAGAGAGAAGAACCTCTTTTCCCTAAAGCCAGCTATAAAACCTAAAATATTACTCTAATTTTCTCCCCACTTTTTGTTATAAAAATTGGCCATAAGGAAATTAGCAGACCTACCTTGTCTGATTGTAGGTCAGAAGACCCTCATCCAGAGAGGGTCCTGCCTCATATAAGGAATGAAGGAATGCTGCAAAGAGACAGGCTGAGAAGAATCTGGACAGACAGGCCTCGCTGGGTTCCCCACTCAGTTGAACAGCATTAGATCAGGTCCATACTTTGTTGAACCTAAGCCTAAAAATGACAGTTTCTCCTGTGTCTTTGAGTCTTCACTCTGAAGGCTCCCATGTCACATAAAATGATGATCAAATAAATTTGTACACCTTTTCTCCTATTAATCTGCCTTTTGTCAGTTGATTTTCAGCGAACCTTCCGAGGGCGATGCGGAAGTCCTCCCTTGGCCCCTGCATAACATTTTAGCCTCCAATGTTTTTGCTGCCTAGATGGGTTCACCCTTGTAAGGTTTACAGTTTTATTTCTGGGTCCCACCCTTCCCTGCCCCACTCCCTGACTTGTCTCTGTGGCCACAGTGGCTTCCCTCTGCCTTTCCTCAGCTCTGCACTTCCACTGGTGGTGGGTTATTAACACATTCTCAGGCTAACACCTTCACAGAATCAATCCTTGTGGATTTAGTCAACCAATCATCCAAGGCCATCTCATCTTGGTCTCTTGGGGCAAAATAAAATAGCAGCTACCAGTTATAGGTGGAACCATGTGAAACTACCATCTTTATGTGTCAAAAATGGTTGAATATCAGCTGGGCATGGTGGCTCATGCCTGTAATCCCAGCGCTTTGGGAGGCTGAGGTGGGCGGATTACCTCAGGTCAGGAGTTCAAGACCAGCCTGGCCAATATGGCGAAACCCCATCTCTACTAAAAATACAAAAAATCAGTCAGGTGTAGTGGCACACACCTGTAATCCCAGCTACTCAGGAGGCCGAGGTGAGAGAATCGTTTGAACCTGGAAGTCGGAGGTTGCAGTGAGCCGAGATCATGCCACCACACTCCAGCCTGGGCAACAGAGTGAGACCCTGTCTCAAACAAACAAACAAATAAAGGTTAAATATTGGCAATTTCATAGGGTTCACCCTAATTCTAAATACTGAGGTGAGTGCTTTCTCCAAATTGTCTCAAGAAGTCCCCACTATAGCACTGGGAAGCAGGCACTGTCTCAAACAACTAGCAGAAGAAACCTAGCCATAGAGAAGCAAATCTTGGCAGGCTGCTCTTAAACCTGCAACTGTGTGACCCCTCAGGGTCTCTGAACAGCCCTCGTGGGGGTCTCAGGTTTCTGCACAACTCCTAGGGCCTGTTTCCAGGTCTCCTTAGTCTCCCATAATAGTAACAAAGCACCTGTGCAGTGTCCTTGGAACCAAACCAGAGTCCTTTTGTCTGCTGCATGCCCAAAGGCAGTTCCTGTGGAATCGCTGCCAGCTAACTCTCTGTAACAGGCACTCCTCATTAGCAGAGGATAACTGAATCACTGGGCTTAAGCTGCCATGCTGCCTGATCCATGCCTCTCAAGGAGGCCGATGAAGTCCTTGCTTTGTATTCTCCATAAGGGCCACGTTTAATGCAGAGCTTTCTCTGAGGCCCTCAAACTTGACCCTCTAAAGAAACACCACATATTTCTTTTTTTTTTTTTTTTTTTTTTGAGATGGAGTTTCGCTCTTGCTACCCAGGCTGGAGTGCAGTGGTGCAATCTCGGCTCACCACAACCTCCACCTCCTGGGTTCAAGCAATTCCCCTGCCTCAGCCTCCCGAGTAGCTGGGACTACAGGTGCACGCCACCATGCCCAGCTAATTTTTGTATTTTTAGTAGAGATGGGGTTTCACCATGTTGACCAGATGATCTCGATCTCTTGACCTCATGATTCACCCACCTCAGCCTCCCAAAGTGCTGGGATAATAGGCATGAGCCACCGCACCCGGCCGAAACACCACATATTTCATCACTTGTTCTTTTTGTTTTTTTGACATAGAGTCTCACTCTGTGGCCCAGGGTAGAATACAGTGGCATGACACACATTCTTTTTTTTTTTTTTTTTTAATTTTTAACCTTTGTGGGTACACAATAGGTGTATATATTTACAGGGTACATAAAACGTTGATATAGGCATGCAGTGCTTAATAATTACATCATGGAGAATAGGGGGAGTTGTATCTTTTAACGCTTGAAAGTTTTGGGAACTCCTAGCATACTTCCATTAAAAGGAAAACTTTGGACGAATTACATTTACCAGAGTTATTGGAGCAAATAATGTTTCGTGAATCAAGCAGGTATGCAGAACCAGAAGAGGTTCAGGGATCTCTGCATTAGTGGCCTGAGCGGCAGGCTTTTGCAGGCTGAGTGCAGAAGCAAAGCAAAGAAATGGTTTGACTGACTACAGATAGGTGCTTGCCTTATTTGGATCTGATTGGAGGAAAGCCCCTAGAGGTTAGTTGATGCTTGCTGATTGGTTAAACTAAGTTTCATTTTACCGCTTACATTGCAATTCAGTTTGCTTACAAAGGAACCCAAAGCCCTATAGCTGACTCAGTCTGATGGCCTCCCACTTAAATATTTTTCAGACTTCTCTATAAGAAAAGATGTAGAATAGGTAATCAAATTTCATTTATTAGAATTTCCTTGGATATAAGGATCGTAAGTATTGATTCAGTCAGAAAAGTTTTTTATTGGTGTGATTGACTAAAAGCAGTATAAAGTTTTACAATGATTATTAAGCAAAAAATAACATTGTATTAGAAATGAATATCTGAATGAGAAGAATGGGGGTTTCTTTAAATATTAATTTCTGTGTTCAAGATAAATATTACTGATTGCTTGAATGAGGTGGAGTTTAGCGTCAATTCTATTGCAAGTTTTCTTTTCCATAGCCAAAGTGCTAAGAACTTCATTCACATTAGTATAAATACCTATAAATACCTGGAATGGAAGGAGTGTTGGTAGAGCAGTGTCACTAAATTCTTTTTTTGGAGACAGAGTCTCACTCTTGTTGCCCAGGCTGGAGTGCATCATCAGCACAATCTTGGCTCACTGCAACCACCACCTCCTGGGTTCAAGTGATTCTCCTGCCTCAGCCTCCCAAGTAGCTGGGATTACAGGCATCCACCACCATGCCTAGCTAATTTTTGTGTTTTTAGTAGAGACGGAGTTTCACCATGTTAGCCAGGCTGGTCTCGAACTCCTGACCTCAAGTGATCCACCTGCCTCAGCTTCCCAAAGTGCTGGCATTCCAGGCGTGAGCCACTGTGCCCGGCTCCAGTATCACTAAATTCTTTGAACTCCTCCCAAGTTATGTGCTAAAAATCACATGATAAACTATTTTCATCAGCTAACAATATGATTAGAGCTACCTTCATTTTTGTTCAAAGCAAAGTACTGGACACCCCTAATTTACAACAAGATTTGTTTTTCTTTCATAATTTCTGTGAAGTTTACCAAAAGGGCATTGTCAATTATGCCTCTGTTTTCACCTGAAGACACCTTATGTTAACCTGATATATCTAGAAAGAGTCACGGAAACTGAAATATTATTTTTACTATACCTTTGCTTATGCTGTACTTTAATGCAGATATATTTGTACATTTATTATGTAGTATAGTATATAAGTATTTGTACATATATTTCAAGTATAAATGATTTTATTTTATAACAAGCTTTGAATATATTCTTGTCAAAACTTAGAGCAGAAAATTTGACTTGTTCAATCTATGTAACAGATCTGGAATATAAACTAATTAACAAAGCTAGTCCTTATTGTCCAAATATCAGTCAAACCAGACTCTGGCTTAGAGATATTCCAACAAGGGCCAAACTATAACATCCCAGTGTCATGCCTAGACAGGAATATGGATGACAGAGGGAAGAAAAGTCATTCTTGGAATGGGTGTTATGGTATCTTGATGATCACTAAAGAAACCTGGCAAACAAAATTTCAGAATTCCCCTTGGTTTCCTGGTGGTTTTACAACCTGACGACATACCAGAGTAAGGTAAATGAAGGACAAGCCTTCTTTGATCAAATGGGACAAAGCTGCTGTGAAAGGTGAAATAAGAGAGCGGAACATATGAAAAGCTAACAGAGAACATAGAACATGAAGATCAGTGATCAAGTCCTTATGACTGTCAGTATTGCCCTGTGGAAGAAAGTCTCTGGCCCCAGTCCAAAGAAGATGGACTTCTAGTCCCTGCAATGCTGGTTTCTATTTTAATTATTATTATTATTATTATTTATTTTTTTTTTTTGAGACGGAGTTTTGCTCTTGTTACCCAGGCTGGAGTGCAATGGCGCCATCTCGGCTCACCGCAACCTCCGCCTCCCAGGTTCAAGCAATTCTCCTGCCTCAGCCTCCCAAGTAGCTGGGACTACAGGCATGCACCACCATGCCCAGCTAATTTTTGTATTTTTAGTAGAGACGGGGTTTCACCATGTTGACCAGGATGGTCTCGATCTCTTGACCTCATGATCCACCCGCCTCAGCCTCCCAAAGTGCTGGGATTACAAGCGTGAGCCACCGCGCCTGGCCTTTAATTATTTTTTATTTTATGACCTCTGAGTGTTCAAGTGAAATGATTTCTTTTTCAGAAACATTGTCCTAATAATGTCACTCAGAGCCTCCCTGTCATCTCCAAGCCCGGGTCCAAGGTCTTGGAATAGGGCTTCTCTGGTTTCTCTCCATCTTCTCTGGACCCCTGCCTTACTGCTCAGTTCCCCGATCCCATTTTTCCCTGAGTCTTTCCCCTTACACCAGTCATCTTTCTCTTCCCCAAAAGTACTATGCTGGTTCCCACCTCCGGAGCTTCCTATAGGTTGTGGAATGGCTTTCTCCACCCCACCCCTACCATTCTAGGTCTTCAGGTCTCCCTTCAGAAATCATTCTTCAGAGATGTCTTCCTTGACCATCCCACAACACACACACTAGATCAGGTTCCTGTCATGTAGAGTGCCCTGTGCCTCTCCTATGTAGTCCTAACCACAATGCGATCAGTTCAATGTATATTATGTGAGGACAAGGGCAGGGCATGGCACAAACTAGGCACTGAGTGAATACATGGCTAGAGTACCATTCCTCCCTTCTCTGCACTTCTGTTGTTCTTGTGCCCATCTCTAATAGATTATAATATTTTCTGTATTCTGCAGTAGCCTGGGAGTCACTAGGTCAAGAACCAATTCCCCAGCTCCTAATAACAGTGACTTTATATAT